TAGCAGCAGAAAATAAAGTGGGTCAAAGGCAGCTTTTCAGCAGGAAAATCAATCTAAAATTACAACACTTGGGGGAACCAAGGCAATGGTGAGAGAGAACATGGTGCTGCACTCCTCCACCCCTGTATCTTCTCCTGGAAGAGGTACAGCACACAAACAATTCAGACATCCTCCTTGCTCAGGCCTTGGGAGGACCCTTCATTTCTGCACAACAACTCAGGCACTGCAAGAACCTGCAGGAAAACCTCCTCAGCCCCAGCTTTGCTCTTTACCTTGGCTTCCTAACGTAAGGAAGGCAGACTTACTGCTGATGAGCTGAGAAGAAATACATTCTGGAAACTCAGTCTGCCACTTGGATCCAAGGAGACCAAGGAGAGCTTTACAGAGGAATAAATCCCCCCCTCTGCCCAGGACAGGTGCATTGTGCCACATCTCTGTGGGAATATTCCAGTGCACTAAACCTTCACGAGCTTCACTTGTTTTATTTCTTTTTCAGTGGAAATATATCAGAGCCCAAACACAAAGCCATTTGACTTCCTGTGCTTGGAGTGCCTCACTTGGGCCCTTTGGGATGATGATGTGGGGCTCTGCAAGCAAAATTTTGGTTTGAGACTTACTGTGTTTTCTAAAGGAGACCTCAAGATACAACAATGGATCCATGTGCAGCACTGACTGTTACTCTATACTGTAAATCCCTCCCTACCAACACTAAGCCTATTTTTTTGAGCACATGTCAATGCTGGATGTGCCGCTATGCAAAAACTCATATATATATAATACTTGCATTAACAATTTTAAGAATCCTGTGCTTCCCAGAAAGAGGAGTTTTAGTTGGTACACTGTATGTAAGTGATATCAACCCAGTTAGTTACCTTAATGAATTAGTGAGGAAACAAGTTTAACTTCATTTCTAATCTTTTCAGAGGGTACAGACCAGTAAATTCAACTCTACAACTTAGGATATGGGGCTTTTGTCCTCCACAGTTTTAAACAGGAAGTTTAAAATTCCTGTTTAAAATTCCTGCTGGTTTTTCCAGTTGCACCTCCCAACCTGCCAGACCACTGGAAGTTCACAGGACATTCAAAGACAACATGCACTTATCACGGGGTTGATGGCTGCACCCTGTGGGTGCCCAGGATCCCTGGATAATGTGCACTAAAATACACACAGATACCTTCACTTGTCCTAAACAGCTCATTACTGAGCCTTAAATTTAATTCTGGAGTTCTTATCCCCCTTTCTGACCTATGGGTTTTCATAACCTCCTCCCCGAGTGCAGCAGCTCCCTGCAGAAACCAACGACCACTCCCTACTAACTCCAAATTTTGCTTCTCCTATCCTGTGCTTTTTCTCTTCCCCAAAAAGCACTGCTTTATCATCCACTTTCTCCTTTAGAGTTGCTGTGCTCCCAAAACTCTATGGCTTTCCTCTCTCCCCCTTTCTTCCATCCAAGTCCCAAGCTAAGAGAGGATTACTGCAGGTGTGAGCATGGAGACAACAACTCCTACATGCGCAGGGAATTTTTGTGTGCCACCCCCTGACTCTGTGTGGAAAGGAGGCCAAGGGAATCAGCAGGTTCCTGTTTTCCTCTCCACTTGCAAATGTGAAGTTTCCTGCTATGAGATTTCGTGAGTGCCAAGTGCTTTGCCAAAGGTTTTCAGATGATCTGGCTGGAGAGCAAGAAGCGTCAGACATCTCATTGCAAACTAGGTTTGCAGCCCAGTTTTGTCCTCAGAAGTGATCCAAAGGACTTTCAGAGGAACCCAACTGTGCAGTGATCTTCTGCTGCAGCCACTGTTAGTACTTACAAGAGCCCTGAAGTCTAAAATATCCTGAAATTATTCCTATTTGTTTTTATACCTGTCTGGTCTGTCTGACATCCCTCACTTGAATGCTATTCCTATTCTGCTATTCAACATGCTGTTGTTCTCTTTTCCTCCTGGTACTTGCATAAGAGAAATATAAAGAAAAGCAATTATTTTGCAAGTAAAACTAGAACCACCCAGGCTAAATCAGGCAGTTTTCTGGCATCATGGCTCAAAATAAAACAGAGAAAAACCCAGCCTCCTCATGATGAAAGAGAGATCAGCTGCTCTTCTCTCAGTTCTTTTAGTTCTTATTCAGCTGCTTTGGAAACCTGGGGGGCAAATCTTCCCCTCCAGCCTCCCTTGAAGACCTGTGGACAAAATGGGCCAGAGCTCTTATTTTTAAATATTAATTCTCACTCAGGGCAGCAGAGCCAGGCAGTGCTCCCCTTCAGGAGTGCATCAGTCTGTCCCAGGGCAGCGGCTGGTCCCAGACCACCCTCAGCAAGTGTCTCCCACATGGAACAGCCAAGCCAGCCCCTGGTGGAGCTGATGGAAGGATTGATCTCATTGGAGAAAAGTGAAGCCACAAGGTTGTGACTTTTGACAGATGGGGCAAGAAACCTGCCTGGCAAGGCCATCGTGATGCTCAGCACCAAGGGTTGTTCCAGGACGTCAATCACACACTTGTATACAACAGTCTGAGATTCACTCATTCCTCTTCTTTGTTTTTCCCAGTTTCTAAACCCATCCTCCCAGCCTTGAAAAGTGTAGGGAGAGATGGAGAGCTCAGCCAAGCCGAATGATCCATGGGTTTGGGACTTGCTCATTCAGCTGCTCGGTTTTTTCAGAAAACAGGGCAGTGCAAAAGCAGACTGTTCTCAAACCCCCCGTGAACAGGATGTTTATGACATCACATAAAAAGGGGGGGTAAATCTTCTTCCCAGAATCACAAAGAAAACAGCAATGGTCAATGCACTGAGAGGTTAAACTGGCCCAGAACATTTAGTCTCTAAATCAAGCAAAAATAATGAGACAGATTGTTCTTGTTCAGCCTTTCCAGCTGCAGCAGAGGAGATGTGTTAGTGACACAGGTGGGAGTGTTTCTGCAGGAAGGTTTTCACCTCCATCACACCTGATACAAATCCATTTTCCAGACTTGTTGCCTCCACTGGCTGCAGGGTCAGACTCACAAAATTGTTATTATTCTGGGAAAGAATAACAGCATAAACTTTTTCAGGCAGCCCAGGCTCCAGTTCCAGCCACTGATCTCTTGCTCTCGGCACTGGCCGGTCCTGGGAGAGACCCAAGAGCTGCACCCTGACTATCAGAGGGGACAAAATTGTGTGCTGGGGAGGCAGCAGCAAGCAAAGGTCTGGGTTCCTCGTTGGTAGTCACTGTAACACCAGAGGAAACACCACATTATACATTTTTACCCAATTTTCCTAATCCCCGTGGCTATTTCCCAGGTGAAGTGATCAATGACACAGAGATGCTGATGATTCAGGGATGCCCAGAAGAGGGAGGGTTCAGAGAAGAAGGTGAGACAGGCAGAGAACAAAAGCAAACATGGAATCTCCTTAGGATGCAGAATGTCTTCAGTGCATGTTTGAGGGAGAACAGTCCTCCCCTTGCCACTACAGAGCTCGTCAAATGGCCTGGAACGGTGGGAAAAGGTCACATCTCACACAATCTTACAAGGCAAAAGAAATCTTCGTGATTTCTTGGCCACCCCTGGGGTGCTGTGTCCAGCTCTGAGTCCTCAGTGCAGGAAGGCCCTGGAGGGGCTGGAGTAGGTGCAGAGAAGAGCAGCGAGGCTGGGGAAGGGATTGGAGCACAAGTGCTGTGAGGAGAGGCTGAGGGAGCTGGGGGTGTTTAGCCTGGAGAAGAGGAGGCTCAGGGGAGACCTCCTCACTCTCTGCAACTCCCTGACAGGAGGGGGGAGCCAGGTGGGGGTGGGGCTCTTCTCCCAGGAAGCAGCAGTAGGACAAGAGGGCAAAGGCTTGAACTGTGCCAGGGGAGGTTTAGGTTGGATATTAGGAAACAATTTTTTCCTGAGAGCCCATTGGAATGGGCTGCCCAGGGAGGGGGTGGAATCACCATCCCTGGAGGTGTTGAAGGTGAGACTGGATGTGGTATCAGTGCCATGGTCTGGGAACCACAGCGGGGTTGGATCAAGGGTTGCACTTGATGATCTCGGGGGTCTTTTCCAACCCAGCTGATTCTGTGATTCATTTTTTGAACCGTATTTCCTAAGCTTCTAAAGGAATTAAATCTCTGATCCTGCCTCTTGAACCCTTGGCAGAAGAGAGAGGACAGAGAAGTGCAGTAGGTCAAAGGTGACATCTTGACTCCCTGAGGAAGGCTCAGGAGCACCCAAATAAACATGGCAGGAGCTGACTATAGCAGAAAGGGCATCTTCTTATCCTTTTGCACTTTTATCACATAGTGAGCAAAAAAACCCCATTAAATGCTCAAATCCTCCTTATTTCTAAAAGGCTGGATTGTCACTGGAGATGGCTGGGACAGAAAACCTGCTACAGCAGAAAAACAGAGACAAAATGGTTCTTTGTCTCCTTAAAAAAATAACCAGAGCTGGTCACAGACTAACTGGTGAAGTAATTTTACGTCCAAAACTGCTGAAGCGTCAAAATGCAGCAGTGCTTTGGAAAAGGGGAGGGCTGACACCTCCCTGTGCCACACAAAGCTCATCCAGATCATAGAATCATGGAATGGTTTGGGTTTAAAGGGACTTCAAAGCTCACCTTGTTCCACCCCCTGCCATGAGCAGGGACACGTTCCACTAGACCAGGTTGCTCCAAGTCCAGCCTGGCCCTGGACATTTCCAAGGGCATCCCCTGTAGCCTAGTGAACTTCTAAGCCCTACCAAACCATCTACTTGCAGGCACCACAAAACTGAACTGGTTTTACAAAGAACTGCTTAAGGACAGAGGCTACAACAGACACACAGCAAAGGCCACTTCATATCCCAAGAGCATAGAAAACCAGAGCCAACACCTATTCCAGCCTCCCTCTACCCCTCTAGTTTCTTTTGAAACCTTCCTCGCTCCCCATTTTTTGACAGAAGACAGACACAGTGGAATTAAGCAGAACAAACACAGCAACAACTCAGTTCCTTGATGCTCTGATCAGCAGTGATTCATTACAGCAGGAAAAAGAGGAAAGTCACTCACCCTCACGAAGCTGGCTGGAAACCATCCTTCTTCATCATCGATCTGACCCCACCACCAGTCCTTGTTGGAAGCATCCAGGACCTTGATAACGTCTCCTGCTTTAAACGCCAACTCCCGGTTGGCCATGGTGACGTGATCCCATACTGCCTCAGCACTTACAATGGAACCACCACTGATCAGCTTGGGAAACAGAAAACCACAGTCAATGCGTGCCCTGATCCCCAGCACTCGCACGTGCACAGCACAGACACAGCAAAGCGCTCAGCCAATGGCAAACAACTGCCCTCATCCCAATCCATGGCAATGCCACCCTCACACCATGTGCTCCACAGCTCACCATCCTGCTCCCCACCATCCTGTCCCCAGCTCCTGGGACAGCAGCACCACCTCCTTCCCACCACCACGCTGTGTTAGGAGCATGCACATCTGGCAGGGACATGGCAGGGACAGTTCCACCAGCAGAATACACAGTTCCCAAAAATGGAAAAAAACCAAGCAATGGTGTCCTGCAAAGGAATTCTCACTTCAGAGCAAGTTTGCTTGGTTGGAATGTCAGAGGTTCAGGAGGCTTTCCATGCAAATCCAAGCAAAGGCAGCACATGTAACTAGAAGAACACTTTCTTTTTAAAGTGGAAGTTCCCCATTTTAGTGCTGGTGATGTACTGACATCCCTTGCTTTTGACATCCTCCAGCTCCCCAGCAGCTCAGAAGGGCACAGTGGCACCTCGGTGACCTGCCCCTGGCCTGGGGCACAGCCCAGCTCAGGGAAACCTGCTGGCACTGACTGTGCTGACAGTGCAGAGACCTGCCCGCTGGAAACTGTACTGAGCCCACTCTGGTGTCTGAGAGAACCTACGGAACACCCCTCCATGTCAAGCCTCAGAGCTGGGCCAGCACCGTGGCACAGGCCTGATCTTTTCACTGAGAGCCACCGAGTTTCACAGAATCACACACAACCACAGAACGTGTTGAGCTGGAAGGGCCCCACAAGGGTCATCGAGTCCAGCCCTCAGCCCTGCACAGGACCATCCCCAAGAGTCACACCCTGTGCCCCAGAGTATCACCCAAACCCTTCTCGAGCTCTGTCAGCCTTGGTGCTGTGATAGATATGAAAGTCCTGCTGAATGCTGGCAGGAGGGACTGATCCGAACACTGCTGCTTGTGCTTCCACAGAAACCATCCATCCATGCCCAGGACACCCACTGCTCCTCTGAATGGCAGTTGTGTATTTTCTAACAGAATAGTAAATTGTGTTTGTGTTTTGCCCACTGCAGGAACTCTGCACTGAGCAGTGAGGCTGCCCCAGCAAACACACACTTCACCCATAAGCTTATTAGCCTGCCAGGGCCATCCTGAAGCTCGCTCATTAATTCTGCCACTGAGACGCCCTGAACATGGACTTGGGCTTGCCTCCAAGTCACTGTTTCAGCTCACAAGGACAGAGCTCAGCACTGGACTATTACAGACCATTACAGACCTTCCACGTGGTGAAGTTTTTCCAGCCACAGTGTCCTGTCAGCTCAGGCAAGGAACACAAAGCACACAGGCCCATCACAGCAGTTATGCAAGTGTAGAAGCAATGGTTACAGAGCTCTTAATGGCTCTTTCCTAAGTCTGGCTTTCCAAAATGCCTGCTAATCACTACCTGCACACTGAGAACTTGCAGGGAACCTTCTAGCACTGCTTGAGGGTTCTTGGCATAAAAAGAGAAGGACATTCATGTCCTACAGGCAATCCAGTCAACAGATTAAAGGACCTGATTTACCATTTGCCTTGAACTGGTTTTCCTTTAAGAAATCAAGCTCCTTGGGTTTGGGACAATCAGAGCTGCAGTTCCAGCTCTTCAGTTATTAGTCAGTTATACATAAAGCAACAAGATCTACAGGGCTTAACTTTCATCCTCAAAACCCAGATAGATCTAGGCAGTGGGCCCCTCTTGTTCCTGCAGCAAAGTAAAATAATATTCCTCCAACTTCCATTTCGACAAATCATCCTTTCTAATTCAAAATCAGCTGTAAAAGAAACATGGCTGTATCACACAGGGGACTTGAACACACGAGCCTCACAAGATCTCCTGACATCAGACAGCAAACATACACACAGGTTAGTGACAAGCTCTCACTAAAGAGTCAAGCAATGGACCCAGCTCATGGCTGAAGTCATGGCAGAGGCATCTCCTGCTTTAGTGTGGGGTTATCCTGTGCCTGGGCTTTGGACACAGAGCTGGAAGCAGCTGGGCACCAGAAGGTCCCATCCCAATGAGTGGCACCTGGAGTCAGATGGTGATGGACCCCCAGTTCACCCTGTGCTGGGCCCTGGCTTAGCAAAGCAGGGTAACTACACCTGGAGAAGCAACAGTTATAGAGACTGATTTCTGATTCCAGTGCTACCTCTGAGTGCTCAGATCAAGGTAGTGCCATATTTCTGTGCTTCCTCACCACCCCTTGCTCTGCTCTAGATCGAGGGTCCTGTATTTATGGACCCTCTCCAAGCGTGGTTTCCCAGGTTAAGCAAGTTCTGCCCTTCCAGCCCTGTTCTGGCCCAGAGCTCTTCCTTCCCCAGCCCTTTTAGGCATCCAGATACTTTCCCTGCATCTTCCCTGAACACAGATGACCAGAACTGTAAATACTATTCCCAAAGAGACCTAACCAGAGATCTGTGAAACAGCATGAAAAATTTATTCCAGTGTCACAGAAATCTTGCAGTAATACCTCACATGTCCCCCTTTGCCCTTGGCCACCTTCCACCCGTGGCTCACTGGGATCTTGCATTCAGCTTATCTAAGTAAATGCAGTAGGGTACATTCTCTTTGGCTGGAAAATCAGTTTTCTTGTCAAAAAATGACTCAGGTTGGCCTGACACTTGCTCCTTTTGTTAATGCCATTGGGTATTTTAGTCCGTTTTGCAGTGATGAGGAACCAGGAACGGAGCTGTTATGCAGGAGCCCTGTTCCTGCTGTTTCTGCTTCAGCTGACATAGACTTTGCTGTCACTTCACACACAGGCAGTTCTGGGCACAAACTGCCACAGAAACGTCACCAAAACCAAACTTCAGAGTGACTGTGTTTTAAACCCTCCTCGCCTACTTTGCAAAAACGCATTTCCAAGCCTGAGGCACAAATCCCAGCTCTGAGGGCTGGCAGGGACTGCAGAGGGACAGACAGGGACAGGGGGGTGACACCTCAGCCTTTTTCTGCTGTCAACGCAGAGCTCTGAAAGGTGCTTTCAGGGGATGTCAGGAGCTGGGGTGGCTTTGCAAGGTGCTTCTTGATCTCAAGGAGGAAGGCTCTAAGGCCTTGGTTCTCAGTGCCTCGTGCCAGCCACAGAAGAAAGGCCCCTCTGGCTGGTCCCTCCTAGCCCCTGGTCCTTATTGTTGGCCCAAGGAAGGGATCCACGTGCCAGGAATCCTGCAAGCAAGCCTGAGCCTTTCAGAATGGAAACACAGCTCAGCCTGTAAAAAAAGGATGGCAGTGGGATGGCAGAACTGGAGTTCCAGCCATCACATGCGCTGAGTCCATTGAGAGAATGTCAGAGCCTAAAATTAAAAGATCCAGTTTAATTTATCTTGCCAGACATCTTGCTGCATCTGTGGAGCCGTCCAGCTCTCTCAGGGCAGGGATATGGAGACAGGACCTGACATCTGCAGCAGCAGGAGATGATGAAATGGAGAAAGGTCAGCATGAAATATTATTTTCGGAGAGAATTCAACACAGGAGCTCTTCACTCCAGAAAGTTCACGTCTCTCGGTTTCAAAGCTGGGTCTTAGCGCTGTGGTCAGAGCCAAAAGACCTTGAAAGGAACTTTTCTCCCGCAGTGTTACCACACAGCAGCTCAGACACTCATCTGGACTCCTTTTTAACCAGTGAAGAGACATGTATGGAGTGGGATTCATCTGGGCTATCTCAGCCATCCACCTTCCAGTCAGGTGAATCATGCCTTAGAAATTATGATTCTTTGTGTTTAACTGGCTGATGCAGAAGTTTGCACTTCCAGCATCTTACATTCGTCCCAGCTACAATTTGTCCATTGCTAAAACTGGGTAACAAAGACCTGCATTTAACCATAATAATCACAAGAGGAATAGTCAAATATTAAACAGCACTCTTCCAGACCCAGCAGTTTTCTGTGTGGTGAAGGTTGCTGGAAATAGAGTTATGTCCTCTGTGGCCACCAGAAGAATTTACAAAATCTCAGCCTTATAAATTTACAACAATGAGGACACAGATACTTGGGCAAAGTGTCCTACCCAGGAGAAGAGGGAGGCGCTGAGAAGAAATGCAGGAGGTGACAAGTACATTCAGTCTGACATACCCTGAACATGGTTTGTCTTCCAGGTGAAAGTCCTAGTTCCTATTAAAATCAATTATTTTTGTCAGTTGGTTGTTCAAACTAAAGAGCCCAAGGAGAAAATTCCTTGGCACTTCCACCATGTAACATCAGTGCAGAAATGGCCAGGAGCATTTTGGAACAACAGACCTGAGAATAACGTTGCCAGTTTTACTGGAGACACCAGAGCACTTTCTGGGGTGGAGAAAAAACTTTCTCAGTGGGCAGAAAACCAGATTAACTATTGGGAAAGTCACTGCTTACCTTGGGCCCTTCCTCACTTCCCAGCGAACACCTGGGAATGGGCAAAGGTAAGTTCCAGGACAGACAGGGGAGGGGCCACTTCCATGTCCCAGCACCACAAATGAGTTGACTTAATGAGGAAAAGAAAAAAGGGAAAAGAGACAATGTTCCCTTTAATTATATGCACAGCTGGCACATTTCGGAACACACTAAGAACAAGGGGTGTTATCCCTGTATCACCAGGATGACACACACTTCAGCCTTCCCAGGCAATTTCCCCACAGGTTTCCAAAGCCCCCTGCAAACCTCCAACAATTCAGTCACAAACCCTTCCTCCACAGATGCTTAAGACACTCCCACCACTCAGCTACAACAGGTGAGTGCTTTACAACAGCGAGCAAAGTCAGTGGGAAGGAATTAAATCATTCCTACTTAAGGTCCATGAGGATTTTGCTTTCTCTTCTAGTCTAGTGTCATTTCCAGGATGGAACATGGCCACTGGAAATACTGAATTACATTAAGGAGTGCTGCCAAAATAAAATGACAACAACAACGAACGGTAAATAAAGGGTCTCAGAGGACTCCGCAAGTCCCAGCCAGTGCCAGCCCAGC